CGTGTGTGTGTTTGTGTGTGTGGCCAGTTGCCAGTGCGTGTATCTATATGTGTATTTAATGTATGTCTAATCTGAAATGGCTAAAATTTAACTTGCACATTTCCATTCGAGATGTTGAGTTGTTAAAAATTTGTATTCTCTGCTCGAAACTAACCGCCATTTAAACCAACGAACAAATAACAAACTGGCATTTCAACCAAGACGATAAATGTGGAACCTCTTATTGAAATGATTCTACGTTTACGGTGACAGATGCAAGTGTACGCTTTGTGATAATTATCGTCTATAAATTAATTAAAAAATATTTAAAATTAAAAAATTAAAACCAATCGTAGGTGGGGTCTGGAGGACGTGAGGGAGTCGGATGGTGCCCACAGGAACCACGATTACTACCTGTCCCTTCTGGGAGGAAGGGATTATTACGCCAGCAAACTCATCCACATCCACAACTACAACAACTACGACAAATACTCGACGACAGCAGCCGCGTCGACCACTCATTTCTATGGAAATATCTACGAGGAGACGCCGTGGAACGCTAATGCGAACTGCGGTCAGAGTAGTAGAGACCAACATCGCCATCATCATAACGTCAACAGTAAATCCAAAAGTAAGAAATACAACCCTGCAAGGCACTTCATGAGGGGACATTCCACCCCAAACGAAGGATTGGCATTTGGGTGTCGAGGGGTTGTGGACCTCATGGTGAAATCGTCTGCAGGGATGGTTAGGAGTCACAGACTGGCTGCCTCAGCTATTGATGACTTCTCGTTAAACTGCGTTAGCCACTCAAAGTTGAATACTCCCAGGTCAGGTGTGTCCCACGTGGGCTCGCTACAAGCCCTGGCCACCAGCCACTATCAGAACATTCTTCAGAACCGACTTCAGATGCAATCCTCAAATAAGAAGATGAGAAAGTTGTCGTCGCTGAACGATAGCAACAGCGATGTCGGCGGACATGATGGTCAGAAAAAAAATACCTCCGGAAGAAAAAGCGATCATTCGACTAGGTCATTAAATCAGTTTAAATCTGAACCCAGGTTGGTTTCCAATCTTCACGCCTCTAGAATTTCTACGCTTAAAAAGGGATCTAGTACAGAGTCAACATCTAATTCTAGTTTGACATCTCTGACGAAGCAACAACAGCAGAAACGTCAACAGAAACGTTGGCAGCAGCAGATAGCTCAGCGACATCAGCAGCAACAGCGTCTCATTCACAACGAACTCATGCAAAGCTACCACGGTCAGACTCTGGAAAGTCTCTTATTGATGCCTGGCCGAATTCTCGTGGCTCCCGTTTTGAATCCAACCTCACCAACCGTCACAGAGTCAACCATCTTGTCCTCTGCCAATTCAACTCTGTCAGGTGGTGGAGGAACTGGTGTCCAGGATGTCGTACTCCTCGAAAGAGGTAGGACCAGACACCACTCCTCGCCAATTACCGGAGCTGAGATCCAAGTGAGGAACCCGAAACTTCATGCGAAAGAGAAAACATCTAAAAATCAACAGCAAGTTCATTTGAGCAATAAGAAACCAGCCAAGCCGACTCAGCAACAGAAAGTTGAAATGAACCGATTGAACCCGGTTGAAAGGAATGCCTCGGCAAACATTCGAGATTTCAATCGCAAGAGAAATAGAAAACTTCAAAAACACAAAAGTTTTGACGAAGCAGATGATGCAGAGAATGATTATGAACAATTAAACGTGCGTTATCGTGGGCACGAAACCCCCTGCAAACAAAACTCCGACCGAGAATCTGGCAGAGCAGCGATTCACCGACACAGAACGAGTCGAACCGTTGAAACGGGTGACAGCCCAGCGGCCTCTCCAACTAAGCAGAACTCTAGACGCTGCGTTGAGATGTACAACAGAAAGCATCTGGCCATGTTGAAGACATCAGAAACAGCCCTGCAACTGACATCCTCCCCTGAATACGACGACCGACCGACAGTCGAAGTTCATGTCGCAATTCACCCTGCAACACAAACTTGTAAAATTAATGACGGAAATAGAAAGATGTTTAATCTATCCACTTCTGTAGATTCAGCATCAACCGACGCTATTCAGGATTCAAAAAATGACAAGGAGGATGATGACCAGCACAGCATCAACAACATCAACAACAACAACATCAACATCAACAACAACGACCACAAATCGATCGTCCTCACCAGCGATGCAGACGACAACAAAAACACTAACCTCCAGCCTGCTAACGCACTCAAACTTCCTCCTTTTGATTTAAATGACACTGGAAATGGTTTGACAACCGTCAGGGCAGCCATGAGGAAAAGATCGTTCACCATCGCTACAGATGAATTCATGTGAACATTCTTCGGCGCGTGTTATTTAAAAATTGCGCGCGTGTTGTTGTGTAGCTAACGGTTAGATTAATGTGAATATTAAACTTTTTTACGAATGCAAACGTATTCATTTTAAAATAATTTACTGGAAAAAATATGAAAATTTAAAAAACTGAACCAATGTACATAAATTGTAAATATGGATTTCAATGCGAGAGTTTTTAATTAAATCCAACTGCAGACTGGATGCGTTCTTGAGTAGGATATAACTACTTAACTAGTGTTCCTACTGTTTTTTTACGAGTGTATGGTTTGTAATTAGAGAAGAAATAACAATTAATCGTAACAAGTCATGAAATTAATTTTAGTAATTTTTATGTTTTGAATGGCATTTAAATATTTTATCAAAATTAAAATATTTTATCAATTTAAATTATTAATTTAAGCATTTAAATATTTTATCAAAATTATCAGCAATAAATTGCAAATATGCCATTTTTGAAGATTTTTTTTTGGAAATCTTTCATTGAAATAAAACAACTGCAGTTTTTTTTTTCTACAAAATAATTTATCAACATCTTCAAAAATATTTGTGTGTTTGCGTTTGATTGACATGTCGATACCGGGACACCCTCACTCCATTTCGTTATTATCCAAGATCATCCACTGTACGTATTTATCTATGGGGTTTTTGTTCCTTTCATCATATCATTCCAACATTCCCTACTTGTTTTTAGGTCGTAATTAATTTTAGCTCCGTTTTTGGTTTAATTTAATTGTTAACTTTTAATTTTTTTAAACCATCTGTTTATTAATTTTCTACAGATTTTTATTTCAACTTTTTAATTTGTAGCTTTTAGCTCAATTTTGGTTTAATTTAGCTGTTATTTCATATCATTAGTCCATAATGTTTTTTACAGATAGATTGTTATCTCAATTTTTTAATTTATAGCTTTTTATCGATATATGCTATGAAGAAATTTATACATCGGCTCGATTCAACGTGTGTTAAATTAATTCAAAACTGTTGCTAAGCAATGAAGTAAACAGTGAACACCACAGAGAGGACAGGGTTTTACCAATTTTTATATTTCATCAGTATTGCAGAACCTACTTTCAGGCACACCAAACATGCATTTTTTTCATTAAAAACTTTAAACATATCTCAGCTCTCTAGCTAGTGCAAACGGTTAGATGAGATACCTATATCTGCCAATCTATCTGTATTTGTTTTTTTTTATGTTGTATCTATTTGTTTGCACCTGACAGATCATATCGCTTTAACATTCTACTTAATAGTTTCGCTTTTGGAATCATAAATATTCTGGTAGATATCTGTTTAAAATATTTAAAACATTTTGTTAAATTATTACATGAATTTAATTTTCAAGAAAAAATTGCTGGCCAAATCAAAATCGATCCTTTAAACTTTCAGATGAGTTATTTTGTTTCGATTATGCGTGGATTTTGTTCCAGATGACATCATGGATGAATGAACGTATCACGGCCATTTGCAGTCCTGTCAGCAGACTGTGGCAAGTAAATTTTGGAATCTTGGTGGGGTTAACTTAATATTATAATTTGTTCATTCAGCTAACGAATCTATACGTATGATTTGGCTTGTAAGAATAGGATGTATTGTTATTCGTGTAATAATTAATTAATTAATACGTACATTAGTGTTCAATAGTGTGTACATTCGTTTTTGTATATATTAACCAAAACGAATATTCAAAAAGAATATTCAAAAAATAATATTCAAAAAGAATATTCAAGTAACCCACAAATTGTGCCAATCAATAGTGAAATATTCCTCAGTTGAATTCATAATCTTAAAACGTAATGAACGCTGATTGAATAATTGTTTACACATGTACACACCCACACACGGATATATATATATATGTAATATTTGATAAAATCTACCGAATTTATATATATATATATAATATGTGTGTGTGTGCGTGTGCGTGCGTGTGTGTGTGTGTGTGTGTGTAGTTTTCTGTATGTTTTCTGTGGTGCTTTTTATGCACTGAGTCCACTTTTTTCATCAATCTCTTCATATTTTTCAATTATTAGTATATTGATTGACTAATTAATTCCTTCATTCATTCGTTTATTCCCTCAGTCATTCATTTAATCAATTAACCATTAATTAATTCATTCATTCATTCATTCTTTCGTCTACTCATTCAATCATTTATTATTTAATCATTCGTTCGTTCATTCAGCTGTCCTGTGTTTGTGTATATGTGTTAGTGTGTATGCGTTTGGTTGAATGTATGTGCGTGTGTGTGTGGCTGTATGTGCGTGTGTGTGTGTGTGGCTGTATGTTCGTGTGTGTGGCTGTTTTTGAGCAAATACAAACAAATACCCGCCATGATAAACTATCCTTCTCACAGCTGAAGCAAGCAGGTGCAAGCCTAAGAGAAAGCCTTGATAGCAGGATGTTATTCGAGGAAAATAAATAAATTAATACCTCCAAAACTTGGGTACCGGCCCACTTAACGTTTATGAATACCTATACAAGTGCACAAGTACTTATCTCCGTGATGAATGAATGAATGAATGAATGAATGAATGAATGAATGAATGAATGAATGAATGAATGAATGAATGAATGAATGAATGAACGAACGAACGAACGAACGAAAAAACGAATGAATGAATGAACGAATAAATGAACGAATGAATGAACGAATAAATGAATGAACGAATGAATGAACGAACGAATGAATGAATACTTATAATCGGTGCATGTCTACTCGTTATTGATCAGTTGTTTCGTTGATGGTGACGTCATTTTTTTCTATACACAAATACGTTTTCCTCTTTAAGCTAATTGCATGTGGTGTGTTTGTGATGGGAGAGAGAGAGAGAAAAAGAAAGAAAGAGAGAGAGAAAAAGAAAGAAAGTGAGTATGTGTGTGAGGAGGGGGCTGGGTGTGTGTATGTGTGTGTGTATGTGTGTATGTGTGTGTGTGTGTGTGTGTGTGTGTGTGTGTGTGTGTGTGTGTGTGGTGCAGTGCTTAGATGAAAGAATTTTTATTTATTATGACTGATGGCATCTAACTGTAATGTATGGCTGAATTAGTAATCAGCCAATTACATCATGTAATTATATAATAATAATAATAATTTGTTTATTATTATCACCATTTATACTATTATGAAATAAAATATACCACAAATAAAATTAACTAAAATGAAAGTCGCTCGTTATGTTTCTGGCGCCTAGATGACTTAAGATGTAGCGGAAGTGGTGTGTTTGTTTGTGTGTGTATGTGTGCGTGTGTGTGTGTGTGTGCGTGTGTGCGTGCGTGTGTGAACTTGACTTACAGTTTCCATAAGATGAATTCGCATATATTTGTAATGGTTTGGCATTCGTTTGAATGACAAACAACGTTCAAACGTTGCCTGACGACGAAAACCTGATAGGAATAAACAAAAATAAACCACACACACACACACACACAGACACGCACACACAGAGCCACGCACGCACACACAAAAAAAGTAGACATGTAAACTGCAAAAACGTTATAAACATTTAAACAAACATCGTTAACAACTTGAGCAACATGAATAACGTAAAAAACAAACACACAAAGAAACACACACACACATACACACACAAACACACTAAAACACATAAAAATTCCCAAATTAAATTGAATCTACATACATTGATATGCAAATTTATAAGGTTTTTGTTATCAGTATATATATATATATATATATATATATATATATATTTATATATATATATATATATATATATTTACAATATTTTATGAATTCTACCGAACTATAAAATATTGTAAAAATTATGGTCTATTACCAACATTACTAAAAGTTCATCATCATCATTATCATTGAACCACCATTATTCCTCACTTAATCACTTTTCTCACCATCACCATCGTCATCGTCATCATGGCCAGTACGATTATCAAAACCGATGGTGTTTGTTGCTGTTGTTATTATTTTAAACGTTTATATAATGTTAAATCAGTTGTGGTTACGTAATCGATACTGATACTTTATCATCATCATCATCACTATCACCATCATCATCACTATCATCATCATCATCACTGTCATCATCATCATCTCCGTATTTTAACTTTTTTGCGATGTTGTTAATTTTTGTTCGTTTTTTTTTCATAACACGACAACCGGTGAAATAAAAAAGCTGAGAAAAATATTTGATTTTCATTTTGACGATGATGGTGGTGGTGATGATGGTGATGGTGGTGGTGATGATGGTGATGATGATGATGATGGTGGTGATGATGGTGATGATGATGATGATGATGGTGGTGATGATGATGGTGAGGGTTATTATGACGGTTTTAAGTATAACAACGACGTAGACAAGAAGCAGCAGTTTCTCAAAATTTTATTGATATTTTTCATTTCTGACAACGCATTAATTTGTCTAAAGGTCAATTAAAGGTCAATTACACTCTCCCAAAGTTCAGAGGATTCAACAACAAGCCACAAACATGGTATGTGATAGGCGGGGATCTTTTAGTCATATTCAAACCCGGTTACTGCGAAACAGCGCCAGGCGTGGAAGATGAAAATCAGTTACAGTTACAGGAATCTACCATCTGACAAGGTACCAAACTGATAGCTTTACCACTTCTAAAACCAGTTAAACAAATAAACAAACCAACAAACAAACCAACAAACCATCAAGCAAACCAGCAACAAACAAACAATTTCAATCGTGACGTGTTGAATTTATCAGATTTATCTGAGTTAGTTGCATGGCAAGTTCACTTTTTATTCACTTTGTGAAGTTCTACAATTCACTTTGTACGTCTTTCCAATGTAAATAGACTTAACAGAATCAAAGAATAATTAAATATAATAAAATAATCATGCTCATAATAAAAATAATGAAAATAATTATAAGGATAATAACAATAAAGATTAATAATAATATTAATAATAATACGGTAACAATAATATAATAAAAATAATAATATATTATATACAAATATTTGTATACTATAATAATATAATATTATATTATTATAATATTATATTATATTATTACAGAAGCAATGGAAACATTGCGTTTCATAATAATGACAATTAAACAAAAGTTAATTAACCAGAAATTAATTAAAAAAATTTTCGACGAGGATGGGATTCGAACCCACGCGGGGAAACCCCAATGGATTAGCAGTCCATCGCCTTAACCACTCGGCCACCTCGTCCGTTGCTTTGCAGCCATTATAAATGTTCAACATAACAAAGGCATGTTCTATTAGATGCTTGTTGTTGCGTGGTTCGATGAAAATTTACATTTCGTGTTTTATTATTAAGTGTTAATTCATTCTATATATTTAACTTATAGCGATTTTTAATTTTGAAACTTTTAAAAAGTTCTTCTTTCTTTCTTTCTTATACTTTCCTTTCAGGATAACGTATAACGTATTCTTTTCATAACCGGACTGTTTCATTACATCCTCATTCCAAGCCTTTCCTTTCACTTTCAAAAACCAGCTTGAAAATAATTGTTTTCTCCAATTTATGTGTAAATAAACTTTTAATAAATGACAAAAAGGAAGTTATTTTAAAAAAAAAAAAAAAAAACTTTTTCCATCGTCTGTATATTTTCTACACTTTCTATGCTTCCGGTGACGTCAATGCGATTAAAGGTCGGTAAGTTTTTGGACGGTGTTCCTTGTTTTCATTTCATATTTTGATTCATATTCTGAAATTTAATTGACTCGGTTTGGAATTGTTTTGTTTTTCACATTGTTTTAATTGAGCTCTTTTTCTTGTCAAACAATCAAATTTGATCGAAAAAAATTGTTTTTGTCGTCTTTTTGCCGCCTATAAAAAAAATGTCACCTCTCAATTTGTTTATTTTATTGATTTATTGTTTATTCTTGATATTATTATGAATGCCTAAAGTAAAGATTAAAACTTTGGTTTGGCATACCGTAAATAAATTTCATTTCGTTTTAGAAATTAATAAATTACATTTTATCACGGCATTACATTACGTCATGAGTCTTCCCAAGATTGAATGACGTCATAATGAATAACGTACTCAAATATAAACTCAGATAAATAAACTTTTCAACGTATATTTTCGAATTTAAATGTTACCTATGCAGTTTTAGATTTAGTAACATTTTTTAATTCAGTTTAAAGTGGAAAAAATGAGATATTCGTCATACAGTAGTGACAGTCAGTCTGATTATTTAGAAGGCATGACATGCTTGAAGTCCTTCTTAAATTCAAAATCAGGGGTCAAGAAAAAGGTCAAGAAGAGATTTAAACAAATTTCTTCAAAAAAGAAGTCCTCAAAATATCAGGAGAATACTGAAGAACACAAGGTCACTCCTTTTTTTAATTAAGAGTTTTTAGTTTTCAAGATCTTTTTTTATAATTTTACCATTTTAAAATTTCCATTTTATTTTTAGTAAATTACAAACAATTTAACTAGTTATAATGAAATATTCTACTAGATATTGCAGCGAATATATATGTTTAATATCAAATTGTAGAATTAATTCCAGTATTTTAATGCAGAATTACCAAAAAACAATCATCTCATTTAATTATTGATGTAACCAATCCATTCACTTAATCTTAATTGGTTGGTAACATGTAAAAAAATCAATTCACATCCCATTCATTCAACAATTCATCAAATTTTCCCTAATGTGAATTTCAATTACATTTTTTTAATATTTTATTTTATATCTTATTTTTTTGAAAAAAAAAAAAATTTTAAATGAAATTAAACTGCTTGAATTTACTTTTCAATGGTCAGACCACTGAAGATTATTTTGGGGAGTTTGAGGATGATGATTTGATTGTGGAAAAACTGTTGAATTCGAGGTTTCAACTAAGGACACTTAACCAATATTTTCTCTGCTCCATCTGCAATGGCTACATTCACAATGCCACTACCATCACTGAATGCCTTCATACATGTGAGAACACTGGGACATTTCCATGTTATATTCTAAAAGAATTTCCTCAATTATATTCTATTGCAGCTTATGTTGATCAATCTCTTATCTGTTTTCATTCATTTATTTACTTATTTATTTTATTATTTATTTATTTTAGTTTATTTAGTTTATTTATTTAATTATTCATTAATTATTAATGTATTTAGTAGAGCAACAAAATGACTTGAAATGTTAACTAAATTATTGATTCCATTAATTTTTTAATTAAGTTGTAAATTGATTAAATGTTAATTTGAAGTCTGTAGAGGTTGCCTCCTAAAACATTTGGTCAGTAGTTCCAACTGCCCGAAATGTTTGGACCTCATCCACCCAGCAGATCCTATGGTCAACATCAAGTCAGTCTAACATGCTTGTCTGCTTGCATGCCTGCCTGCCTTGACTGTCTATCTGTCTGTCTGTCTGTCTGCTTGCTTGCTTCAGCTTCAATACAATATGTTGTTTTTATAACTTGTCATCAGTGTGACAACTAACGACTATGGATGTGTTTATGTTTGTGTTTGCGTGCGAGTGTTAAAAAGTGTGTGTGAGTGAGTGTGTATGTGTTTTTGTGTGTGTCCTTCGGAATCTCTGAAAATATAAAGTATATGTTACTAATTACGCCGATTTAATAAAATAAAATTTCAATTGTGATATTCTCTCTAAATAATTAAAATTATTCAGATGTGATCCAACTCTTCAAAATCTTCTCTATAAAATAGCTCCATCTGTTGAGCAAGGTTGCAGCAACAACAATTAATAATAATTATAATAAATTATAGCAATAATTATATGTTTTTATTATTCTAATTAATATTTAATAATAGTGATAACATTAACAGATTCATAACAAATTAACTGAATTGAGTATTTTGAAATCCTTTGCAGAGGAGTTGAGAAGAGAGAAACTGTTTTATCAGTTGAATAAAAATCGTCTGTATGTGCCAGGTGATTGTATTCTAATATTTCTACTATTTTTAATGACTTTATTTGCGTTTTTCAATAAAATTGTCCTTTATTTGTTAATTTTTAATTTTAAAAACCAAAATTAGATGAAATTTAATGGTAATTTTACTAAATTTAACTAATTCTTTCTCAGAAACACCACTACCAAAATGCTTTTCCGGCGAGAAGTTGAAAAAAAAATGGAAGAAAGGCAAATTCAACACCAATTATGACAATTGCAATAATAATTACACTAAAGAGCACCATAATAATAATTATAGTAATAATAATAACATATTTTCCAATTTATGCTTCGAAAATCTAAATACCAATGTGCATGCATTCAGTGATTACAATGTTGGTGTAGTCCTTACATTCATTGGGTTACTGTTTCAATTATTCATTTAATTTGTTTTATTGCTCATTTTATTTATTTATTCGTTTATATAGCTATTTATTAATATTTTTAACCATATTTAACATTAGAAATTCATTTATAAATATGTGTGTTATTATATTCTGGGGTGTAAATGATAGGTTGATTTTTGTGCTCAATTTTTTTAGCAATCATCTCTAGCATCCCTCATAGGTAGCACCAAATAGAGTAGTACTGCTTCATTGCTTGTGATTGGTGGGTGCATTCGATCCCTGTCAACCATTTGAACCATCAGCCGGTCTGCCAAGCATCCATGCAACGCCATCCCACCACGCTATTATGTTATCCTCTCATTTTGATTAATTTCTTTTCCTTATGTAACGTTTCAATTTTCTTAATTTGCAGCTGGAAAAAAGGATGTTGTTTAAATTTTGAGGTGAGGTATTTTTTTGTTATCGATTAAATAAATCGTGAAATATTTTAAATTATTAAAATAAAATCTTTAAAATTATTAAAAAGCTCTGTTTCTAAGTTTATTTGAGACGTTGGATGGATTTTGTATAAAAGTTCTTACCATTCATACAAGCACTGATGTTTTTTGGACAATTATACGTTAAAAATTTAACAAATAAAACTTTATTACGCTTGCAAAATATATCAATTGTCGTTTTCAACCTAATTGCAAAATTTATTCAAGAAACTGGAAAACTTCTGTACAAAAATATACGTCAGTGTCGAGAGTTCTACCCCCATACGTCAGCTCCAGGCATATCTTGCTTGCTGCTTGTCACTTTCACCTCAATCCAGGGTCTGTCTGTCATCTTTCTTAGCAATCTGTTATTTATTAAGAATGATGTCACTCAAAAACAGTATTAGTACATATATTGATGTCACTCAAAATTAGTATTAGTTCATATATTTTTTCATAAGTGCATGTTTTTGTAATGATTTCATTGAAATGGTTCTCGTCGGTCGGAGGCATTGGAAGTTTTTTGGATAAAATTTCTTTATGTTAATAAATTTTTAGTTAAAGTTAATTTATTATCTTAAATGTTAGTTAATGATGCTGATAGGGTGTTTGATGACTTTTTAAAAGTTTGATTTTTATACTAAATCACCATCATCATAATTAATGTCGTCGTTGTTGTTATTGTTGTCGTTGTATATATTTGTTGTAATGGTTATTAAACATTATTGTGTTAGGTAACATTCACTTCAAACAAACATACAAACAAACAAATACAAATAAACACAAACATACAAACGCACACACAAACATACAAACAAATATACAAACGCAAACATACGAACAACCATCCACATAAAGATCTGCATGTTCTTGAACCAGTACCTGCTCCATCACTGCCTCACCATGCATCACATCTCTCAGCTAATCCCAACTGACGATCAACGTGTTAATATTTCGTTCTCTTTTTGTTTATCTGTCCAGCAGTTAACTGGCCGTTTAAAATTTAAGAGATCTTTGACTAAATTTGATTAATTAAAATGCTGGCCAATGAATTTTCTAAATTTTTCAAAATAATAATTTCATGGCTCGGCTGTCATTGTACTAATTAACATTGTTGGTCTATTTTCCTTATGAAGAGAGAACACGGACACCATGAGGAAGAGGAAGTGGAGGATGTGATCTGGATATCTTACGCCGTTGTTTCGTGCCAGGATTCACTGGCGTCTTCTTTTCCCTGTGACGATGATGAAGTGGAGTGTGGTGGTGGCAAATATGGTGAGGATGAAGATGAGAGAGAGGGTGCCGAAGTTGTTTGTGGGAATGGTTAGAGTGTTTGGGATGTTGAGTCATGGCGTTATTTTCATGCTTTGAAATGTTAACATTTTAATCAATTGATGGTTACATTTTATCTTGTTTTCTCTACCAACCTGTAAAATTTCGTTTAGAAAACTCAATCATTCACAATATTCAAAGCCCTAAAATATGAACATAACAAGAAATCTATCGAAGTTCGTGTGAAGTTCGTATTCCACGGAATGCACGTTTCAAAAATCCATACTCAAAGAAAATTCTTATTCGAAAGGAAATATTTCGTTGAAGAATTGTTTGCATTCGGCGTATGGCAAAGAACAATAATTTTTGGAACACGCTAAAAATTTCTAAGTTATCTAGGTTTCGTGCACCTTCTACGGTTGTTTATTTTTTATAATTAAGCATGTTTATTCGTATAATTGTTTTAAAATATTGCTGATATTGTTATGAAAATATTTTTAAATGTACTAAATAGCATTGAAAATTTACCGAACACCAAATCGACCAATTTGTTAAGTGGATCTGTTACTGGATGAATGAATGAAAGACCAAATCACGATGAGTGGAATGAATGAATAAACAAATAAATCATTGAATTTTTCAATTTTTTGACTTATTAATTCATTCATTCGCTAAATTTTTTTTACAATTTTACAACAAAGAACATTTTGCGTAAATATCGAACAGATGATGTAAATTCTACGGAATATTCGATATATTTTATTTTTAGACATTCTAGAAATTAAAAAATTTTATATTCATTAAATACAGTCTAAGAATTTACTAAATAAATATAATTTGTTGAATTAAACGAACAGTGGCATATTTTTGACGAGTCGCTACAACTATTTTGTTGCACTTTTGAAAATGAAGTCAAAATGTATCTCTTAATTACTTTTTATACATTAAAACACGATTTTAAATGAAAAAAATTGACACGAAACTGTGCGATAGGCTAAAAATAAGTTGCCTAGTATATCCAGTTTTTGGCTCCCTCCCTGGCAAACTTTTCTCCGCCCCAATCAAAGTTGTTTAGGTCCGCCCGTATGAACGAATAAGAGCATTGATAAATAATTATAACAATAATGGATGAAGAACCAGTTTTGCCTAGTTTATGGAGAAAAAACAAAAATTTCTTGGTTGAGATTCTAGTCTGGTTGAGAAGCGCGCAGATCTAATTAATGACCAATTTTATATCATAGACTAATTAATTTATGTAATCATTAATTATTAAATTAATTATAAATTACACACTGAAGGTTACTAACAATCAGCTAATGAAATCTCAATACAATGGAATTAAAGAATTGTAAATTGACGGCAATAAAATTACAAACTATAGAAATTACTAATAACTTTTAATTAACTTAATTATTTAAATTGTGTAAATGATCTTTTAATTTACAACGCTAATAAGCAAACAACATTTTTAATAATTTAAACTAATTAATTTATGTAATCATTAATTATATAATTAATGATAACAAATTACACATTGAAGGTTATTAACAATCAGCTTATGAAATCTCAATACAATGGAAATTAAGAATTATAAATTGACGGTAATAAAATTACTAACTATAAAAATTACTAATAACTTTTAATTAACTTAATTAAATTAAATTGTATAAATGATCTTTTATTTTACAACGCTAATAAGCTAACAACATAGTTAATTAAGTATGCATAAAACTTGGACCGTAAAATTACGGACACGCCTTCTTCATACACCCATGACATGCAAAGTCAATGTATATAAACGACCGAAACCTCATGTCAAGGTAACTTACTAAAAAGTTTTGCCCGAATCAAGTCAGATATAGTCATCAAATAGTTTTCGTTCAAAAGGTTGGTTGGATAATATTTTAGTTTGTATTTTTTCTAATTATTAACGTTACAGAATTTTTTTAGTTATATGTGTAGATTAGTTTATCGTTTTTAAATTAACTAGCACTTAGCGTAGGTTCAAAGGTTAAAATGTTCATAGCTATCATTATTAATTTAGTTTTATATCAACTTTTTTTCATCAATAATTTGCCGTAAATTGATGAATACAAAATTTCTCAGTTAATGTACGTTGAAAGTTTACGCTAAATTCATCGAAGATTTTAGAATTTGGTTAAATTAATGTTGATTTTAGAATTTGGTTAAATTAATGTTTTAGAGTTACTAAAACTCTAAAATTGAGATAATTAGCCATATAATCATTAATTAATTTCATCATCCATTTGAAATCCCGTCTCTTAAACTTTGAGTTCTGACTGGTCATACATAATTTGTTACATTCAAATTAGCTAATCGCGAGCCGGCAAAGTTAATTAGAGAAGCAAACACTAATATAAGCACTAGATTTTTTTTTAATTATAAGAACATTCAAAATGAAATAAGTCTGGTAGTTACTTAAAATTAGATAAAATTAGTGGCCATGTTTTAAAACCGTGAGCAAGTGGCCATGTTTTAAAACCGTGAGCACGATTTATGGGTAGCCCACGTTTTACAACCATGAGCATATAAACAATCGACGCCTAGAACACGCTCAGAAATATAAATTCTTCAAAACATCGTATCCATTCAATCTATCTGTTTAATTTGCACAGATAAAATCTTAGAGAAAATGGATAATCAAAGATCTCCATCGTCGTCTAACACAAATCATTCAACTGATTCGAACGAGTCGCCATCGAATAGAAGGAGCGCCAGCAAGAGGAAGCGCGGTAGTTTAACTAGGGTCACCGCTAAATATCAAGAGAACATCAAGAGGAGCAGGATGCTAATGGAGGAGGTAGATTTCTTCTTTTTTTAGCTTCTAACATTTTTAATTTGTTGCTAAAATATTGTTTGGCGATAGATAAAATAAGTCTTAGATATTAAAACTATTTTATAATAAAACTTGTTAACTATTAATTGACAATTGAAATAATGAATTTTTTCAACTAGGCCATGCAGAGGATGGAAGTAATTAGAATGGAGACTTTGGCTAGCCAAAACCAAAATCAGTTGATGGTGAAGCAGGCCACCATCAATGAGCATTTCATCTGCTTTCTATGCAGAGGCTACTTCTACAATGCTACGACTCTTTTGACATGCAATCATACATGTTAGTATTTTCAAATCAACTAGACTATACGCAACTTGCTTATTTTTATTAACATTTAAAGTTTAAAATTACTCAAAATTTCAATTATCCAACTATCAAATAATATTACACTATCTCGCATTTTAATAATGGTATTATTTATAGGTTTCATACACAAATATTATAATTATTCCTTATTAAATTTCAGTTTGCAAGAAATGCATATTGGATTATACCAAGTTTTATCTCAATTGTCCCATATGCCAAGAGCTCATCCACCCGACTAATCCGATGGAAGAAATAATGTTTGTTATCTCAATTTTTATTTGTTTTGGATTCATTTATTTTTCAAAAATTTTATTAAGATACGATTTTACATCTCTTTAAAATTCGATATTTTTCACATTTATACGAAACTTAAGTTATTTTAATAAAATTTTTTCTTTTCGACCAACTAGGCACGACTCACCCATCCAGGATCTCCTCTACAAGCTAATGCCGTCGGTGTATGAAGAGGAATTAAGAAGGGAGCGTTTGTTTGAGGAACAGCAACGCCAACAAGAGAATATGGAAGCTTTAGGAGGTATTGAATGAGTTTTAATAATTAAGATAATTCGTATTAGTCACTTCAATTTAAAAATATTTTTTTCAAATATTCAAAAATAATTTCTGAAATTTTTTGTTATAAAAAAAATGTTTGCAGAGAAGAAGGAAACAAAAAATGACGGCATAGGAGCAAAAAACAGAAGAGTCGTAGAAACAGAGTTGAAAGAAGACAGCAAAGAAGGAAAAAGGGACGAATTAGTGAAAAGCGATGAAACTGAGACAATGGGCGATGTAAAGATTCAGGAAATGGAAATATTTGAAGAAAGTGAAGAGAGACCCAACAGGGCAGAAAATAGAGAAGTAGTACAATCGGTTGAAACGCTGATGAGACAAGTTAGCGAAGAAGCAACAATGGACGAATTAGCGGAGAACAATGGACTGTGGTCGAATGGAGATGCAGAAGACCTGGAAATGGCGATAAACGAAGAGATGGGAGAGAAGATCGAAAAAGTAGCCGCCGAAACAAATAGCATGACGTACATACTGAAATTGCGTGGGTTTGTAGCCTAATTATTAAGTATTTTATTTTTAGTATAGGTTTATTTTTTCAGCAATTTAAAATTTCCAAAATTCATTATCTAAATAAATAAAACAATAAAAATATATTAGCATTTAAGCATTAACTATGTAATATAACGTTCATTTTTCAGGGTTGAAGTCATAAGAATCCTCGGCCCCCCCTTGCGTACAAGAAACGAAGACTGACAGAAGGAAAAAACTACAGAATTTTAATATTTATTATTATTATTATAATTATTATTATTATTAGAATTTATGTAGCGCCCTTAAATATTACTCACAGGCACTTAAACTATTCACCATTACGGCGTACAACACCAAGCCACTTTTTGAGACTGAGAAGTTTCACATGGAAACGGCTGACAACATCGGCACTGGACCTATTTCTTCCTAAACTCTTTAATTTGGGTTGAGACCATCTGGATATCACAGATATCCTTTCGTTGTTATTATTATTTATATTATTATTTATTGTATTATTAATGTAATTAATTTATAATTATTATTATACATAAATATATATTTATATATATATATTTATATTTATATATATATATAAATATATTTTAAATATATAATATAACATAAATATATATATTTATATATATATATTTATATATATATATTTATATTTATATTGTAAATAATATGTAGTTATCTTGCGCGCGCGCGTGTGTATCTCTTCTGAAAAGAGCAACAGTTTCATCAATGTTTACATATCACTATCAGCATATCATCATCACCATCATCACCATCATCATTATCATCATCATCATTACTGTCTCTTTCTTCAATCACTTGAACTATGTTTTTTCTGTGAGTTATTTTCCATAGTCTGATGAATTTTTGCACCATAAATTATAATTTATGTTATTATTATAAATATTGTGAAACTTTCGTTTAAAGATGAATAAATATATAAAAAAATACTTCAAACCGAGCTTGTGTTATCATTGTCTATTGATGTATAAAAGTAATAGATAAAAAATCAAAAATAAAACTTTCTATATAGATAGTTCGTATCAAAAACATAATACGTAAGGCTGTAATGTAAAAATGTAATTTTCGCTTTACACTATTTAAATATGTTAAAATGAATTTACTTACATACCGTATTCAACAACATAACTTATCTAGAAATAAGTTGAAAAAAGAAAGGAACTGTTACTGGAAAGTTAAAATCATTCTTTCCATCCGACTATTCAGATTTGATAGAAATTGTTAATTAGTAAGTCCAAGAGCAAATTTAGTTTATGGAATTGTAAGAAATAAAAATCATCGCTCACGTCAGTTGATAGATTGTTTGATAGATGTATATTTCAATTCCAGGTTTCCCTCTTCAACCAAACAGCAGCGAACTATAAATATGGGACAGTCCCGTTATAGTAAAACTGCAATTTCATCGTCGCTAATTTATAAGTAATATCGCCACCAGCAAACAAACGAATTAAAATCTACAGGTTTAAATGTTTTTATTAATCATCTTGTCGTTTTTCCTTATTACTCAGAGGTATTTCCATAATGAAGAAATTGTTTCAGCTTAATTCAGATGAAATAAATATTCGCAAATGCCGGGACCAGAGTTGCAGGTTTGTTTGAAGACCCTGAGGCAAGAAAGCAAGTAAATGTTCTTAACTAAAAAAAGAGAAAAAATTTCTATCGAGTCTTTTAAAACGTTATTGTCAATAAACAAAAATGTACCTTTAAATCAAATAAAACTGATTAAGAACTGAATTGATACGTTAACAGAAGAAACATCATTATTTTTATGTTTGTGCAAAAATTGTCGATGATGAAAGAATGTTTTGAAGAAAGTTGAAAGTTGCTGGCCCGTCGCAATACCCTGCCCTCCCCTGAATTCGACTGGCATTTGCATAAAAGAGTTTTAAAAAATTTGAAGCTATGAAAATAGTTTTCATAAAATTGTAGCTATGCGAATAAATTTTGTAATTTAAGGGCAACTGAATATATATTTCAAGTACCTACTCTCTGATCAATTCTTTTTTGAAGTTTTCTCCAAAAATGATTTTTGTAAAAACATTACGCTCTCTGATAGAAATTTGTAAAACCGGAGCTCATGTTCTACAAACTGTTAGAAACAATCTCACAGACATATATAACATATCTTTTAATCTTTGAAAAATTTTCCCCTTAATTTATTTACCGTATTTCGGGTAATTTATAAAGTATTTTTTCGAAAATAGGGAACTCCACAGCTCATATTTGATTTCTTATCAAGAAACATTTTTGAAAAAAGAATTTTGAACGAATTTCAAAGTTTTCTTATAACTAAGATTTATATTAACCATTATGTTATCAACTTTCATATAACATTAGATATTTACTAATTAATAATACATACATACCATTATCTTTTTTTGGTTCAGAGTTGCTATAAAATTAAAAGATTTTCATCGATAATTTAAATAAATCCGAAGTTTACAAGCAAGAAAATTAATTCCCTAAGATAAAAATATGTTTAAGAAGATATGTTGACAAAAAAAATCTTAATATCTCTAACATATTTCAACAACAAGCGAAAACTGGCGAGGCGAACCAGCACTTATGAATGAAATATTCGGTGCCGAAAGATAAAATGTTACACTCCGAGTTCATTTCAACCGCACAACACTTTTTATTAATCGATATAGTGTTGGTTTTTTTCTTCGTTCGAACGCAATTCCTCATTTAACAACATTTTTTTTCCGGTTTATTATCAGATTCGGATATTTATTTTTCAATAATTTTGTACTTATTTCAATATAAAAACTTGTTTTTGTTACATTAAATCGCAGACGCACGTGTTTATTTATTTACAAATGAACACATTGCTGTTGAAAATTTGCTCATTGTTTCGTAGAAAGATGTGTACTTTACTGATGTCTAATTGTAATGATTAATCATATTAATTATATTTAATCTAAATGATACAAAACCTAGTGCAGATATTATTTTTTATTCAAAATCATCTCGTTTTTTTGATTTTGTGCTTTATTCAATTCAAATATGATGCATTTTGCAGTATTTCGTAGTTCGTAAATCTTTATTTTATTAAGTTAGCAAGTTATTAATTAAGTATATAATTAACAAATATTCAAAATTTATTCATAATTAATTCTTATCCGTGTATTTCTTTTTCATTTTCGACATATTCACGAAGAGCAGATCGTCCGTTGGGAAGTTCGGATTGCCGATGGAATGGATCGTGAAATTTTTCGAAGAAACGCGAAGATTTTGTTTGCTGTTACATCAATCTCTATATCATACTTCATTTGTTAATCATTGATTATGAATTTGCATGTGCACTTGTTCAACCGTATATTTTACGCGTTCATCTGAACGAAGTTCCTTGATAGATGAAAACAGAAGTAGGATTTCTTTTATATAATGGTTATATACGGTTTTGATATGAATTAATTAATTATGACAGTCTTCTGATTGTCCAGCAACTTTAAAAAACTTTTAATATCTTCTGTCCCTACTTGATTTCGCAGACACAACGAAAGCTTTCAAATCGACGGCAAAAGTGAACGAATGACTTTGGAAGGTCTTAACTTGAAATGACCAGAGCCATTTTCTTGAGGACCAATATCTTGATGAAATGCGACATCTAGAAAAATAAAAAGAAAATCTAATCACCTTTTTTCAATGTAATTTCATTTCTTTTCAGGTCTGAACCAAGCTGGCAAACAACATTTTTGCGTGAAGGCACGGCACGCGTTTGGAAATATTGTCGGTTATAAAAACAGCCCGTAACGCTTTAGACTTCTTTTAAATATATATTATGCATACACATAAATAATACACACACACGAATATATATATACATACACACATATATATAATTCTGTCAACGTAAACAATAGAATATAGAATAAATATCTTATGTGTATTGGGTCACGTTTTTATATTTCTATTTTGTTTATTTAAAATTATTTTAAAATGTGGTTTCATTGTATGCAATGTTTTAACACAACAAACCAAACAGTTGTGGTTACCTTATGCCGAAGATTAATTATTACGACTATCGCCTGATTATTATTGTTAAACAAATTCGAACAAAGTTTATAAAGGATTGATTTGATATGGTACTGTCATTCACAAATGAACAAAGTTCATGTGGTCAATGTGTTAATTAACATTATAAATATAAATTTAACTACTTTTATATGAATTTTGACAAATTTAAACAGTTTAATCTAATTATTTCAGTACTTATCGTTCGCGTCCGTATCATGATAGATCGTAAAACCTCCATTTTAGAATACTTCCGTTGAATGTTCAATCGTACACGCACTAACTATTTAATTCTTTCATCGACTGCCTATATGTATAAGTATGCATTATCTAGTAAGTCTCTGAGTTTCGATAGTTTTCACATTTAAATATTAAATTAAAAGGCGAATTTAGTGGACGAATACTCGATTTTGAAGATCAAATGAAAATTGATCATTGTTAAACGGTTGGTAGGTTGTTTTTTAATTCTCAAACGACGATGAGCGAGCGTGGTTTATGTGAGTGTGCGTGTTATACGTTGTATAGGATTGATAGGTTGATACGTAGTTGAGAAGCGTGTTTCCTATGAAACTTTAAATGACCGACAGGCAATGTTCTTCATTTTAGAAAATAATTGCATGACTGAGAAGTTAAAAGGGTTGAAATTTATTTTTTAATAATAAGAGTGGCGAAAGAAATTTCACCGTTTGTTATTTACCTCACAAATACATCGTACGTGCCTTTTATATAAACATTTTCTTCTGAGTTCTCGTTCGCGACTTGCGAGTTTTCAGTTAAGTTTAGAGTGGAGCAGAGAGTAAGAAGTGGAAAATGTTTGGGCACGGATGTTTTGCCTATCGTTATCAAAAGTTTTTCAGAAATTCAATTTTGTTGAAACAGAAGTCCAGTTTCGAAGAAGTCTTCAGCGAGAAACAGAGCGCAATCCTTCCGATGCTGGAGTGCCAACCTGATTTTGAAGAGGCCGCTTTCACGCCGCCGGAGTCTGTTCCAGTTCTGACGGCAGAAACCTCGGCAACGAGGCCGAGATGCCCGAAGAAAAAACGGAGAGCATTTTATACGAGAGCCACTTCAAGCTACCGCAATAAAGCTAAAGAATGTAGACTACTTCTGAATGAGGTTACCACTTTTAGCTTTTACTTTGAAAATCTTTTGTGACAATGAATATGAATGAATATTAGTATATAAGAATATAATATAAGCTCCATTTTAGTTTAATAAAATTTGCCTTTTATGTTTGAAATGTTTAACCTTATTTTTGATAATTACCCAACCATATGAATTTGTCTCATTTTAATTAGGTATTTTTAGATGTTTTGCTATAATATTACATTACTTCAAAGTTAATTTTTTAAAACAGATGAAGAAAAAGATGGAAGAGGTAAGGGCTGAGAGCTTAATAGCTGAGAGAATGCTGAATGTGAAAGTACAAATGCAATCAATTAATCAGTTTTTTATATGCTCCATCTGCAATGGATACCTCCACATGGCAACAACCATTACAGAATGTTTGCACACATGTCAGTACATTTCAGATTGTTTCAACATGTAGAATTTATCATTTATTTTTTATATGAATTGATCAATCAATCAAATAACTAACTTAACTTATTATTTGAATTTCAGTCTGCAAAGGTTGCCTCATCAAGCATTTAGAATACAACTTGCATTGTCCCAAGTGTCTGACAATTATTCACCCAACTGATCCTAAAATCAATATTAGGTGAGAAATCTTGTTTAAATATTTCTTAAATTTATTCATTAATTCAAACTTATCTTGATTAAATTGTGTTTATTTGGTTCTTTATCTAACAATTGCAAAACATATTTGGTAAAAAAATCTCAACACAACACAGGCATGATTCCATGATTCAAGATCTTCTCTACAAGGTGTTACCATTAGTAGAACTAGGTGACTTTATTTTCTGAAAATTATTTATTTTTCATTTTAATTCAAACTTGCTGCTTAAGTTATGACAACATTTGCTTCAAGTGATTTATAATGCTCAAACTATTGCAATCAATAATTTACTCATTAATTGTTTTGATTTAAATTGAAAAATGATTGAGCTTAAAACAATTTTTGTTCAGAGGAACTGAAGAGAGAAGCCCTTTTCAATATCCAGCACAATCTCCTGCCTCCACCTAGTCAGCCAATTGAAGGGGAACCAGGTTAAAATTTGCATTCATCCTTTTTCAACTTCATAAGTTTTCATTTTGACATTTAAAACTTGCAAAATTTGCAAAGCTTTTTCAGAAGTTTCAACTTATTTTATTTATAGCAGCACCTGCAGATGAGCCAGTGGCAAATGTTGCACCATCACCTCCACCACCACCACCACCATCTTCACCAGTCGTAAATGGGAGGAAAAGAAAACTCCCCAATAGGCAAATCGAAGCTGCCATGATCACCACCACCAACAACAACAACACCGACTTCTACAAGAGCAACAACAACCACAACCGCAAAAGGGCTTGCAACAGAAGAAACAACAAAGGTCGCAACAAAAATTCTAGCAGAAATTATCACTCGAATGATGACACAGATGAGGACAATGAAGCTGGAAGCCAACCTGGAAATATTGGAAAGGATGAAGTGATGGAGGATTATTGTGTTGGACTGATACTTAACTTCATCGGGTTAGTTGGCTTCTCATTTTTTCAACTACTTTCTCTTTGTATTTATTTAAGAATTGTTTATTTTTCTGAATTAATTTTTATCTCTTGTATATCTTTTTTGGCTGTTTCTATTGTTTGTTCAGAGTTTCTACATTTTAATTTAATTTTTTCTTAATTCTTCACATTCTTCACAAACCCAGATACGAATACAGAATACACTTTTACTCTGATTTAAATTTTACTCTGAAAATTTTGAAAAATAACACAAAATAATAATATAACCAGCAGACACAAATACATATATGTGCGTATTGAATTTCTATCTAACCAACCTACCTATATCCTACAACATGTTGTTCAACATGTTTCAAAGCTTTCTCATTGTATTAAACATAATTTTCAATTATAATTTATTAATTTTTTTAAAATAAAAACCCCTCAAAGTCAACAAAATGTTTAAAGCAAGTTGATCAATTTATGATAATCTATCCGATAGAGAATCTGAGGAATTATTTCAATTCATAATTTGCTGATTTGTGTTTGCTTTTTTTTGACTAAAAATTTATTTTATACATAAATATTAAATTATTTCTGCAAATACCACTAATATTTAAAATATACATACTTATAAATGATCATCTTAACTCTATTGTCTTTATGAAATTTTCATCGACTTTGATCTAAAAATCATATCCAGGTACACCAAAGGCACAGATCCATGTCTTAAGGTGAGATGAGTTTGGCCTCTTGGTTACAATAATTATTTTAATCACAGTAATTATTTACGATAATCATTTGCAATAATCATTTTAATCATCTTATTCTTAATTTTCATTGATTTTTTTAAATTTTCATTTATTTTCTTTTTTTTGTTAACATTTTCCATCACAATCCTCACTCTAATCATCTCTCATCACCAGCTTCATCCTTGTACTCACTATCCTTATCATTATCCACCAAATTACAACCATATTTAAGGAATTGAACTATATGATAATATGATAATTTTGTTCTGCTAGCAACTGGCCTCCAGTCTTTCCAACAACTGTATGTACCTCACCATTTTCAGTCAGGAAAACATCGACTCGCTTCAAACTTACCTTCATAAGAAATTCCAACTACCTGAATCTTACGAGGTTTGTTCGGTTTATCGTTCATCCATCTCTTGTTCATACATTTGTTTTTTTTATCTTATATTCAATCTTTGAATGTCCATTTATTTTCTATTCACATTTGGTAACATGTTCTCTTGTTTGTTCACCTCTTATTTTTATAATCACCTTTGTTCATCTTTTGTTTATTTTTTACTTTCCATCTCAGTATTAAATTCTCTGAATTCATATTTTTTTTTGTTGGCATGTGCATATGTTGTCCACTTTTTATATCACGAACAGTTAATTTGAACAGATAGCAGCAATTTGTTTTGTTTCAATTCACATGCACCAAACCATCGCATGCCTGGATTGCTTACATTAATTTTTATGTTAATCCACAAACATTCTCCACTAAACTGTTCCATTTCAAATGCTCCATTTTTATCAGATAACATACAAACTCATAAATCCAATAGCACAACCCGTAACATTCAACTTTCAAATGACCCTGACCTACATGACATGACCTAACCCTCATACCTTGACTTCTTGTCTGACCTCCGAATGATCTCTACCCACTCAATACTTGACCTTCAAATTATATTGGCTTTTCACAGATCTGTACATTCCGAGACCAATACTTGCTTCGTGGTTGCCTTACCTTCCATACCATCTTCGACATCTTCAGGCCTCGATATCATCATCGCCAGCGTCATCTTGGGGTATGTTCGAAAATATTTATTCAACAATTTTTTGTCATTTTTTTGCTTTCTTTCTCTCTCTCTCTCTCTCTCTCTCTCTCTCTCTCTCTCTCTCTCTCTCTCTCTCTCTGTCTCTGTCTCTCTCTCTCTCTCTCTGTCTCTTTCTATTTCTCTCTCTGTAATATGATAAATTCACTTTAATTTGTATTTAAAAAAAAAGATAAATATAAATACCTTCATTCAACCTGAAACTCAGGAGCCCCTGGAACTTTCGTACATTATCAAATCCTCAGACTGCAACATCAACAGCTACTTAACGTCTTTCAGCAACTACACCAACAGGAACAAAACCAGCAACATGAAGAAGAAAAAGAAGAACGACAACCTCAAGAAAGATGACGAAGAAGACGATGAGGACAACGTCACTACAAGTAATGCAGACAGTGGCACAAGTAATGCAGACAGTGGCATATGTGACGACATCACGGCAGACAGTAACAAGCGAAATGACAAAAACAGAGGGCAGAGCCTCAAGAGAAAGTACAACTACAATAACGCCAGGAGAAGAAAATGTAACCAGGCTAAAAAGAGTAAAAACCAAAGTAGGACTAATGGCACATTTCATGACGATGACATCAACAACTCCGACATACATGTCTACAACGATGTTTGCAGTCAAAACGACGACAACAACGAGAGTCACAGCAGTGCTGGTGATGCAGACAACAACAACCACAACAACAATTGTAACGGAGACATCGCCAGCAACATCAGCAACAAAAATGTCGATTTTGTTGGCAACATTAGCGACATGAATAGCAGCAATAACTCAGGTTACGATCATAATGATGATATTGATGAAAATAACAGCAGTGGCGACATCAGCGTGACTCGCAACCAAATTAACAATCACATCAATGGCAATGGCTTCAAAAAGTCCAGCATCGATAACAACCACATCAACGACAACAACATCAATAACAACCACATTACAGGAGATTATGATGATTCTCCCAATTATCTTTATGACGATGATGGTGACGATGACGACGTTCTATACATTGCTGATGACGATGATGCTGATTACGTATTCGGGGATGATTTATAACTTGTATTGTACAGATTGTGCTCACACGCCACACAAACTCACACACACACACAAGGAAAAAATTTACTTCCGCATATGTGTACACACACATTTACACACACACACACACAGACGTACATAATTCTTTACACACACACAAACACACACACAAACAAACACAAACTCAATGTATATACCTATATATATATTGAATAAAACGCATGTTTATTACAATATATTTATTTACTTATATTCATTAATAATCATAAATATTTATTTATAATTATATAACAAATTAAATAAATATGCATGTGGGCATGTTATTTTAATTTGACCTTTGCCCTTCTGCTCACTATCCTTTAATATGACGTTCCAGTTTCTTTTTCTATTTTTGCTTCTTATGAATTTTTCATTAAAAATGAATTTTCTCCTTACATTATTATTAATTTCTCTTATAAAGTCGTTAAAATTAACGATTTTAGTGATAAAATTGTTAGTTTTAATGACCTTTTTGATAATAATGTATTAATTTTCTCATGAAATTTATAACAATAATCATTAATTTATTAGTAATAATAATAATAATAATAATAATAAGGATGATAATAATAGTAATAATTATATTTTTATTATTATTTTCCATATTATTTTCTTCCATATAACATATTAATAATTCCAAACAGTAAGCAGTCTTAGTCTTGGAGTCTTTTTTTTTTATTATCTCCATGGTTGATTTATTTCAGAAAATAAAATAGAATATGTTATTTATTATTATTTATTTTTTAATCATTACGACGATCAATTATGTAATAATTATATGATATTATTTCGCTTATTATTTGTCGTCATCATCATCGCTATTATTATTATTATTATTATTATTATTATTATCATCGCCGCCACCATGACCACAACACTGGTTCCGATGTCTGATGATTTCAGCGAGCGTCAGCTTCAACTGACGGCCACATGAATCGCAATTGTACTTCTTAGATCCACAAACACCATCGTCACTACTGTCATCTTCATCATCATTAGTAGTGGCCATCGTTGTAGTAGTAGTAGTAGTAGTGGTGGCCGCATCACCAGCTGTCGCTCTGCCACCTTTCGACATTTTTCGACAACCGCCATCTTCCATGATGTTTGATATTTTTTCAAGCTGGCAGTATTCAACGTGCTGGAGCCGCTCAACGACGTTTAAAAATGAACACACGTCGCAGATCGGGCATTGCCATTTCGATCTGTCGAATTTATTCGTGTATTCGAAGTCTTTGGCTACTTCCGCCGCTGGAGGGTCTAGTTTCATTTCCGGTTTGTAGGTTACGTCCGGGTCGAAGTCTTCTTGCTCTTCTGGCTTTTGTGGTTCGTGGAATCCATCGTCGTCCAAACTGTCGTACG